TTGGTCCACGCGGCCATTCGTCATGGCTCCCCTCGGTTAGGCCTAGGCATCTCATCGGCATGTGACAGGCCCCGCAGTTGCTCCAGATGGGCCAGGTTTTCTCAGGTGTCATCTCCGCGCGGCATGGGGCCATCGCTGGATGCGCCTTCGCCGCCAGCCTCATGCAGTTGATTCTCTTGAACACTATAGGCGCCATGTCGATTCATTGGCCCAGCGTCAGGGCGTCGAAGGTCGCGGGCGACATCGCGTCGTTCGCAGCAGGAGCGGTCGCCGACTTAGGCAGCCGTCAAGGCAAGGCTGCGAGCTACAACCTCAATCAGCTCGAAGGCCTTTGTCTGGTCATCTGCAGGGGCGGAAGGGCGGTTCTGGCCACGGACGGGGTGTCGGGGCTGATGCCATCTAGCGTATCAAAGCGTGGGAGTAAAACGTCTCGTCGGCCACCAGGAACCTTGGAGTGGATGTTTCGCAAAAGTAACGGAAGCGCAACGTTGGGATCCAGAAGAACAGGCTGGCTGCGCTGGTGCCGAGAGTGACAATGTTTCGGGGGCTCTGGTCGCCCCTCCGAGGCGCTGCCAGAGTCGTCGAGGCTGGCGGGCTCCCGTCTGCGGCGTATGGTGGCGCGGTCGTCGGCATCGCGGATGCCCGCCATCGCCAACTGCGCTCTCTGCCGGCGGGTCAGTCGGTCTTTGGAACCACCGTGGACGATCGGGAACCTCAGAGTACCAGTTGAAGCGGGGGCCCTATGGCTGACCCCACTTTTGCTGCCAACGCCGCCCCATCTCGACGCGGCGTTTGGCCCTCCAGGGGGAGTGGGCCCCTGCCGCCCAGATGAAGAAAAACTGCGACGTGTTTGTTTTGCGTGCCTGGCTTTGGCTGGGGGCAGGTGACGGGACCCGCCGGGGCCGCGCGGTGCACCTTCATCGCCTCGGCTGGACGGCTCGAGGATGTCGCGATTGGGTCACCTGCCGCGGTTTGTCAGTCGACCCCGGGCACATGGGCAAAAGGGCGCCCAAGGTGTAGATTGAGCAGAACATGCAGCGGGGATCGGTCCAAAGCGTCGCTGCGAAAGTCGAAGGGCTGGCGGCTGGTCCGCTCCCCCAGCCGATAGTCAAAAAGCTGGGGCCCCTCGGAGCCACGGGCCGAGGGCTGGAAGCTGCGATGAGTTCGGGAGTGGTAGCTGGACGCTCCGCCACCCAGCGCCGCCCCTTCCAGGGGCACTCCCACGCGCGGATTTGTCAGCGGCGACGGCGTCCGTCTGATGCGAGAGAACCTTGACCTGGGGGATTACCTTGCCAGGGGGAAGGAGCGCGGCGGGTGCGGCCCAGGGACAACCAGGGCTCTGAACCCCAATCCCGAATTAATCTGGCCAGCCCTCCGCGATGACGCTGGGTTCGCGTGGATGGTCCACCCCCTGTTCGGTACCTTTGTTGCGGGCAAGATCTGTTTGGGCGGCCCTGCCGTGGGCCCCGACAGCGATCTCTTTGCCCGTGCGGGCTGGGGGGCCGCTTCCGTAGATGAAAGGGGGCATGTGACGGGCTCTATCTACGGTCATCTTCCCCGCCCGCTCCAATGGGCGGGAGGGGGTGCAGTTTGCGAGCTCCTCATGGAGCTTCGGCAGCTGGGGCCAGGGGAGACACAGCTGATCGCGGAATGCAAGCTGGTCCCTGCGGGCTGACCAGGATCAGTTCATATTCGTGTTCAGCAAGATCTGATGCGATATAGTTGCCAAGGCCACGGATGTGGGGTTGCACAAAATGACGGTGAGTAAAATCAGAAGCGACCTCTCTCGGAGCCAGGCCGTGGATCGCGGGGTCCGTTTCTGGGTGTTGGCTGGGAACCGAGAGGCGGCTCGATTGGCCAGAGAGCCGAGTTGCACCCCCACAGCCCTGAAGTGCGCCAGCTCTGTGCTGAGCAAGATGCCCTGGCTTCCCAGGGAATGACCCTCATCAACGAGACGATGGAATACCTGTCCAAGCTCGGACTTCCAGATGCTGAGCGTGTCCGAGCGAGGATACAGAGCAGGCCCTCCCAACCCGAACTGGTGCCAGACGACCTTGGCCATCGTCTGACGTGCGTGGGCAGAGACGCTACGTAAATACCTTTGCATGTTTGGCGGGGGGTCTGGCAGTAGAGTTGGCGTGTGTAGAACGGCCTGCGTCGGCCTTCCCAGGGTTGCAAGGACGGCCCATTCCACGCACAATCTTTAGATTGGGGGTGAAACAATTGTCAAATGTGCGAGATGCGGGGCCTTTTGGAGCTGCCTGTTCCCGGTATCTCGGTCAGGCCTGTCTAACCCACCCCCGAAAAAAGAAGCCAACATCAATTTGAAGAAACTGCGTGCTGGCATCGATCCGTTTTCGAATCGTGAATTTGGGCAGGGCGAAGCCCTCGCCCGTCCGCGACCTCGGGCTGGTGGCGCCTTCGGCAACTTCCACACTGCAGGCGCGCCGCAGCCCTTCTCTGCTTGTGGTCTGTTGCATAGCGGGAAGCACCATGGTTACGCAGAAGGAGGCAGAAGGAGGAGGAGGAGGAGGAGGAGGAGGAGGAGGAGGAGTAAAGGGATGGCGGGAGGACAAAGCGCTGCAACCAGCAAAGAAGGCAGACGGCGAAGAGCAAGGAGGGATGCCACAACGGGTCGAGACGGCCGCACCCCACGCTTCCGTTACCGAACAACGCCGCCCAACAACAGCGGCACCGCGGCATTCCGAACGCGCTCCCGCCACTTCGACTGGTCGGCAGGGGGCTGCAGCCGCGACAGGACGATATGGAACATCTATACCAGCACCGACTACGACGCGCGGCTGACCAACGCCATTCAAAACGACGCCGACGCAAGCAGCATCGGCGAGATGAACACCGACCGAAAAGGACCTGGACCTGAGGCTCGGACAGTCGATCCAAGGAGAGTGTGCATGGTACGAGACCATGGATGTGGTCTCCGCGCTGGTTGTCAGGCCCCCTTCAGCTACGTGGACCGCAACACCAGACAGTGCAGCAAGCGCATACAGAAGTATCGACCACCCATGGGTTAGGCCTGAACTCGGCGCTGCTGCACAAAACAGGGCTACGACAGAGAACGAGGCGTGGTGGCCCGCGATGGACTTGATGAAGGCGGCGAAGGCGAAACGCGTGCCGTTCATCATCGTGATGTCGCCAATGGGCACCGAGACCCACATCACGGCCACGGCCGAGATGAATGAATCTATGAGAGGATGCACTACGACGAAGCTCGAGACCAAGAGATGCGTCGTCGCCTACGGGGCCACCCTGGATGGCGACTCGGACGCGGACCTGGGGACGGCTGGCCCTCCAGGACATGCAGCTCGGCGACGGAGGCCGCGGCGATCGCGGCTGCGGCCGCCGCCGTGGCTGCGCAGAGCCTGGCCCCCGCGGCGCCGCCGCCACCCCCGCAGCCGCCGGGCGAGGGAGCCGCCGCGGCTGCTGCGGCGGCCGTGCGGAGCCTGACCCCCGCGGTGCCGCCGCCGCCCCCGCCACCGCCAGGCTGAGCGGGGCGGCGCGGGCGGGGGGGCTACGGACCCCCGAGGAGAGCTGCAGCTTACGATGAGGACGAGGAGTGAGGAGGTGCAGCTGCGGCAGCGAGGTTCGAGGATCGCGCCCGCGGCCGCGGCCGCGGCGGCGCGGCGAACGCGCGTGGATTCCGCGAGGCTGACGCCCCCCTCAGGAGTGGGAGTGAGAGAAGAGGAGGCGGAGGAGGCGGAGGATGAGAAAGAGAAGGAGAAGGAGGAGGAGGAGGAGGCGGAGGAGGAGGAGGAGGAGGGGGAGGAGGGGGCGGAAAGGCCGGTGGTCACCCCGTCGGAAGAGGCGGGCGCAGGAGGAGCGGCCCCCAGCGAGCGCGGAGCAGCTCGGGGAGAGGAGGAAGTGGTCGGCAAGGGATCAAGGGAGGAGCCCTCCTCCCTCGAGATCCGACGCCGATCCGACGCCACTTTTTGTTGAAAACTGGGCCCCCGAAGTCCTGGCCTCTTGCCTGAGACCAGCTCTTCCATCCCGAGAGTCCGATTGTGTCGGTCCCCGGGCCCGCCGAGGGCTCCCGAGAGGCCGAGAACGGCGAAATACATCCGTCTTGAATTTGGTCGAATCGTTGGAGGTCTGGATCTATCGCTTCTCCCGCCTCCCACCTCCTCATCTTTTTCCTCCTTCGCCTCGTCCAATCGCACCTCCTCCGACCCTGTGCTCCTGCTGTCTCCTCCTCCTCCCCCTCCTCCTCCTCCTCCTCCTCCTCCTCCTCCTTCTCCCCCTCCTCCACCTCCTCCCCCTCCTCCTCCTCCTCCTCCTCTGCTCCGTCCACCTGCTGGAAACAGACCACTGGACCTCTCAAGGGGTTGGCCTCGGCCAGAAGTCTAGAGGAAGGTTCAGCCATTGCGACAGTGAGCCTTCCAGGGAGCTGGCAAAGAGAAAAACACGTCCAATAATCACTACCCTCGATCCTCGAGCCTCCTCCTGAACAAAATCCAGCCCGTAACGATTCCACAGAACCCTCCCAGAGCTCATTCTGGCCATCTTCTCACCTGGGGGATGTTTGTTCACGGGGGCGCATTGAAAGGGCATGAAGAAACGTGCGCCTTTGCTGGACATGCGGTGGCAATCTAGGGGGCCCTTTAGGCTAACATTCCTGCCCGACGTCTGCCTCGGGCTTGAGTGGCCCTCGAGGGCCACTTGACCTCGGGGTCCCCGGGGGCCCCGCACGGGCACCGCGGAGGCCGCCTGTCAGGGAGAAGCCCTGTGGCGCGAACTGCTCCGCCCGACCCTCGACCCGCGGGCCTTCCTCATCCTCCTCCTCATCCTCCTGCTCCAGTTCCTCCTCCTCGTGTTCCTTCCTCCTCCTCCTCCTTCCTCCTCCTCCTTGTCCTCCTCCTCCTCATTCTGTTTCCTCCTCCTCTTCCTCCTCCTCCACCTCCTCCTCCTCCCACTCCCTCTCCCTCTCCTTCTCCTCCTCCTCCTCCTCCTCCTCCTTCTCCTCCGCCTCCCGCTGCGGGGTGGGCCTTCGACAGGGTCTCCGTCATGAGCGCGAGCCGGGGGGAGTAGGAGCAAACCTCGGGGCTGGCAGACGGAGCTGCCCCGTCGTCTCACGGGGAGGAGGAGGGCATCGGTCGGAAGGGAAGGAGGAGGAGGAGGAGGAGGAGGAAGAGGAGGAGGAGGACGAGGAGGAGGAAGAGGAGGAGGAGGAAGAGGAGGAGGAGGAGAGTGCGGCAGCAGCAACCGCAGTACACGTTCCCTACCTAGGCTCTGCCTAGAAGGGCTATTACTCTGTAGCCCAAAGGGGCCAGGCAGTGCTAACCGCCCCGGGCGGTTCCCCCGGTCCCATGGGAGCCAAGCAAAAGCAACAGCAAAGGTCAAAGCAAACGCGCGGTTCCCCCAGTTGCGCTCCCTAGGTGCCAAGCAAAACCAAAAGCAACGGCACAAGTGAAGGCAAAAGCGAAGGCAAAGCAAAAGCATAGCATAGCATAGCATAGCGCAGCATACCATAGCGCAGCATAGCATGGCATAGCCTAGCCTAGCCTAGTCCAGCATAGCATTGCGCAGCATAGCATAGCATAGCATAGCAGAGCAGAGCAGAGCATAGCGCAGCTGCTGATATATATATATATATATATATATATATATATATATATATATATGCATATTCATATATAGCAACAATGCCAAGTCGTGCGGTGTAGGCCGGACCCGGAGCATTCCCAAGCACACCCAGTGAGCGAATGCAAAACCATGCGTGTGTGTGTGCCTGTGCGCAGGCAAAGCAAAAGCAAAAGCAAGCAAAAGCAACAACAAAAGCAAAGCAACAGCAACAGCAAAAGCAAACGCAAAAGCCAAGGCAAAGGCACAAGCAAAAGCAAGAGCAAAAGCAAAGGCAATGCAAAGCAAAAGCAAAGCCAATGCGAAAGTGTAGATGCAGATGTAGATGTTGGTGTAGGTGTAGATGTAGATGTTGGTGTATATGTAGACGTAGATGTAGATGTAGATGTAGATGTAGGTGTAGATGTAGGTGTAGGTGTAGATGTAGATGTGAGTCTCACTGTTGATGTAGATGTAGATGTCGATGCAGGTGCAGATGTATATGTAGCTGTAGGTGTAGGTGTAGATGTAGGTCTAGATGTAGGTGTAGGTGTCGATGTAGATGTAGGTGTAGATATAGATGTATATGTAAAGAACTCCCTAGTGCCCCGCCCTCATCTCCGTGCCTGCTTGCTTTTGCTGCTGTCTCGGCGACTTGCTGCCTGCTTCTGCTGCTGCTTCACTTACGGCG